CATCTTCTTTATCCATTCATCTGTCAATGGACATCTGGGCTCTTTCCATAGTTTGGCTATTGTGGACATTGCTGCTATAAACATTGGGGTGCAGGTGCCCCTTCGGATCACTACATTTGTATCTTTGGGGTAAATACCCAGTGGTGCAATTGCTGCATCGTAGGGTAGCTTTTTGAGGAACCTCCATACTGTTTTCCAGAGTGATTGCACCAGCTTGCATTCCCACCAACAGTGTAAGAGGGTTCCCCTTTCTCTGCATCCTCGCCAACATCTGTCGTTTCCTGACTTGTTAATTTTAGCCATTCTGACTGGTGTGAGGTGGTATCTCATTGTGGTTTTGATTTGTATTTCCCTGATGCTGAGTGATGTGGAGCATTTTTTCATGTGTGTCTTTCATTTGTGTGTCTTACTTGGAGAAATGTCTGTTCATGTCTTCTGCGCATTTCTTGATTGGATTATTTGTTCTTTGGGTGTTGAGTTTGATAAGTTCTTTATAGATTTTGGATACTAGCCCTTTATCTGATAAGGCATCGCAAATATCTTCTCCCATTCTGTCGGTTGTCTTTTGGTTTTGCTGATTGTTTCCTTTGTTGTGCAAAAGCTTTTTATCTTGATGAAGTCCCAATAGTTCATTTTTGCTTTTGTTTCCCTTGCCTTTGGAGACGTGTCTAGTAAGAAGTTTCTTGTCACAGAGGTCACAGAGGTTGCTGTCTGTGTTCTCCTCTAGGACGTTGATGGATTCCTTTCTCACATTGTGGAATTCCATGTGCTGGTATTTTGTTTAGGATTTTTGTTTGTGTGCAGACAGATCAGATTGGCCTGTCATTTTCCTTTCTTGCCTTGTCCTTGTTTGGTTTTGGTATCAAGGTTATACACTGCTCATAAAATGATTTGGGAAAATGTTTCCTCTCCTTTTACCCTCCGGGGCACTTGTGGAAGACAGATAAAACCGCAGAAGGGTCTGGTAAACGCAGCTACCAGACTGTCATCCTTCTGCGGTCCCACTTTTTGGTACAACATTTCTCGCTTGTGCCTCCAGCCCGACCTATGCCCCCACCCCGCCAAGAAAAACAAAGAAAACACATTGCTCCCTCATAAGCGTCTCACACTGAAATGCTCACAGCTTACTTAGAAAGCTGTGTTTCTGGTTTTTTACAGGTGGGTCCTTAACTCAAGAGTTTAGCACAAGGAGTTGTTTTCAGGCCTGCCCTGAGCGCCCCCACGTGACAGGTAGGTGCCTCTCTTAACAGATTAACCACTCTTCTTGAAAACCCAGGTATAGGATCACTCACTTATCCTTTAGGGCCTCCCCGAACATGAGCCAGAGTCCAGCCAGAGGTGAGTCTGGCGGAGCTGGGACCCCGGTCTGCCCGCCAAGGCTGCTCTGTTTTAGGGATGTGTTGGAAACTATGTGGTCCAAATCCTCTAAGCACAAAATTAGCTTCTTTCCATATTTTTGAAAGGGAAAGAACACCTTACTAAATATAACATGGGTCAACAAGCCAGAAACAAGATAAACAGCCAGCAGTTGCAGCTCAGGAGCTGGGTTCCACACCCCTGGTGAACCCACCAGGGTCCTGGTCTCCAGAGGGAGGGCAGAATCGACGGACAATTTTAAGCGATCCCCTGGACACATAACCCTGCCATGAACCCAAAACACAAAACCTTCATTTCTTTTTTTGATTCTAAAACCAACACATACACATTTGTGTGTTTCCAATTGTTACTCTCCCAGTAAGAAAAAGAAAATAAAAATCACTCTAATCCCACAGTGCAGAAAACAACTAAAAAGACCATGGAATGCATAATCTGAGTGTTTTGAAATTTAATATAAAACATAAGTGTTTCTCAGCCTTTTTTCCCAGTATTGTTCCCTAAAGAGTCTTTTTAGACATTGTTTTTGTAATGCCCCCATTTTACCCCCACTCCATGAAATTTTAATACTGCAGATATCTTGTGTGTCTGTTAATGTATGGTGGAGGGCCACAAACCATTGTAATATCTAAGACTATATTACACCATCCCCAAGAACCAATTTTTGCCCCCGCCCACCGTGGGTGGTCTCACTCCATTGGAAATGCAAGCTTTAAATAAAATTAAATAACAAACCTTTCTAGAAGAACTTGCTATGCGCTGGTCACATATAATTCTAGGTACTTTATGTATGTTCTCTTGTTCACTTATCATAACTCTCCTATGAGGTGAATACCAGAAAGACTTGGTCTCCTTTTACAGTTGTGGAAGCTGAGGCACAGAGCGGTTAAGTAACTTGCCAAAGGCGCACAGCTGGGAAAGTTGGGAGTGAGGATTCTGAGCCCAGGCAGCCTGGTTCCAAAGTTCATGTTGAACCACCAAACTGCTTTGCCTTGCAACGACACCTTCGGATTGTAACAAATCCAAAATACAGAAACAGAGTAACAGGTATAGTTCCCAAGCCCTCTCTATTCTCTGAAGCAATCATTGCTAAATTTGGAATGTGTCTTGCCTGAGATTTTTACATACATGTTTGTATATATGAAAATTTTCTGCCTCTTGTTTAACATAAGGAGGATCATCCAGCCTTCCTTCCTATATATTCATGTGTACAGATGTGTATATAGAATTTTTTAAAAATTAGAATCACACTGAACATACTGTTTTTTTTTAACTTTGACTTTAAAATGTATCATTAGCTGGCTTAAAACCATAATTTAACAAGCACGTGTACCATATTTTATTTAACCAGATGCAGATGATTGGCTATTGAAACAGTTTCTAGTTTCTCACTGCTACAAAGCTTAGATGAATATCCTTGCCTTGTACATAATTCTTAGAAGTTAGAATTACAGAGCCAAAGGGTATAAGCATTTTTGAAACTTTTGATCCATCAATGCCAAAATTTGCCGTCCGGAAAAATTGTATGAAATCGCTTATCCCAACACCATTACCCACATTGGGTATTATTGCCTGTTTTCCATCACTGACCATTTAACAGGCCCAAATGTGTGAATCCTGACATTTTCATCTCTTTCGGTGACTCTCATCTGGAGCCTGTTTGACTCATGTGACAGGTAAGGCAAAGCTTGAGTCGAGAGATCAGGGAGGGTGGGAGGTTAAAGTAGCCCCAATCACTGGTTTAGAAAACACACTCTCCACCTCCCAAGGACAAGGCCTACCTGCTGGGCACCTAGCAGGTGCTCAGTCATGGGCTTTTTCATCTCCTGCTTCCCACACCAGCCTCTGGCTGCACCTCCGCACCACTGAGCCCTCCTCCTCCTCTGGCCTTGTCTCATATCCATTTGGCAGAACTGCTAAACCCCTAATCCTTTCCTTGGCTGGCTATGAGTGATATTTGGGAAACAAATACCCTCGTGTGTTTAGTAGGCTTTTGAGCGGATCCACAGCAACCGTCTGCAGTGGGATGGGACCCCTGTTCAGTGCCCTGCATGCCTACACATCCATGTTCACACATCAGCACACATGTATTTGTGGGTATGCTCATGTTAGCATAGCACAATTCGGGTGCAGACCCTATTATCTGAAGTGGGACTTGTCGCTCACAGAGACTTTCCATATACCCTCCAGCCTGAGTTAGGACACCCACCTACCGAATTCCACAGTTTCTAGACTTTCTTCCCACTTTGTCGTTATTCCCTGTAGACTTTTTCCTGCTGGCCCGGAAGCCCCACTAACCCTTAACTTGCTCACCGGTGTCCCTCCAGTGCCTAACACTACTTAGCAGATGCGCAAGAAATATTTGTGGAGTGAAAAAAAAAAAAAAAGAAGAAGAAGAAGAAACAGACCTCAAGCCGATAAAGGATATTATCCCAAATATTTTTAGAGTATTTTTTTAACAAAGTGGCCACTTTCAGATTGAGCCCGTTGTTTGATGAGAAAATATCTCTGCAGCATTAGATTTCAAGTGGCCTGTTTAGCCGTCCTTCTGGAAAGATTGGAAAGAATGCAGAGTTGAAAATAGGACCTTGCCCATCCAAACATCTGTCAGGCTTTACTGTTCTGCGAAGTTCACTGTCCCAGGAATAATGTACTGAGGAGCAGTTAGCCAGGAAGGGTGCCGCTGCTCGCTGGTCCTCCTGGCCCCTGAAAGTGTTCTGAGCTAAACCTTCAGGTGTCTTGCTTATCTGGCTCACTCTCCCAGCCAACAAATGGTTGTGGAATCCCAGGACGGTGGGCTTGTTCCCTTGAGCACAAGGTCTCTGAGCTGCTTCATGGGAAGAGGGTTTCTCGCCCAGCTGGGCACAGCCGCTAAGATGGGGAATAGGCCGGCTTCTGCCCCTTTAAGAAAAGCAAAACTCCGCGTGGCTGAAGGGAGGCGAGTCTTGCAGGAAGACTTCAGGTGGCCTCTATTCATTTCATTCAGAGATTGAGCGGACATGTTTGGAGCCCCTGCTATGTTCTGGGCACAGAGATGTGTCATGGGAAGAGAGAGACTGGCCACAGTAGTCACTGGTGGCCTGTGGGAGTCCACGGAAGGGGCAGCTGAGCAGGGGGTACCCGAGAACTGCAGAAATGCTGGAGGGGGGTGTGCAGAGCAGGGTGAGGTGAGAGATGAGGGCGAGAGGTGGTCACACACGTGACTCCAGGAGCCCAGATTTTCCGCTGCAGGAAATGGGGAGCCATGGAGGGTGGGGGGCAGCCCATAGGCCATGTGGACTGGGACACACCCCCGACGGATGCCCGTCGCCCAGGCGATTTGGGTACAGCTACTGACCACGGCTCACGCACACCATCGTTCACACTCCTCGCTGGACCCCGTGCCCGCCGAGATTTCACTGCACTTCATTAAATTCCACAAAATGTTTTCAGGCCCCGGAGGGCTGACCTCTCTGGTCTCCTGCATGGAAAGGTCTGGCTTTTCCTTTTCGGGTGGGGTAGGCGGATCAGCCCTCCTTCTGCAGGCACGTAAGCCATCTGGAATGCATCAGCGGCCTGGCCTGGCCGAGAGCGCGGCTCGGTCCCGCTCCGTGACTCCTTCGAGAGTCCCGGCGCTGCATTCACAAACGTGTCCGGAATCTGAACTGAGCCTCCTCTCTCTTCTTTCTGCTTTCCTTGCAGACCTCTCGGCCGCAGCTGTCCACACAGGATGCCTCGAATTTGCTGGAAGCCGTCCCTCGAGAGCGCAGCCGCTGCTTCTTTAGGGCGGCACTAGGGATTTCGTTCAGTGCATTGAAGGGGTTTTTGTTGTTCTTGCTGCCACTGCTGGTGCACTCATTTATTTATTTTCTTTCTTTGCACCGGGACTCGCCCTGCTCCCACTGGCATGATGGCCCAGTCGAAGGCCAACGGCTCCCACTATGCGCTGACCGCCATCGGCCTGGGGATGCTGGTTCTTGGGGTCATTATGGCCATGTGGAACCTGGTGCCCGGGTTCAGCGCCCACGAAAAGCCGACAGCTCAGGGGAACAACAAGACAGAGATAGGCAGCGGCATTCTCAAGAGCAAGACCTTCTCCGTGGCCTACGTGCTGGTCGGGGCTGGGGTGATGCTGCTTCTGCTCTCCATCTGCCTGAGCATCCGGGACAAGAGGAAGCAGCGGCAAAGCGAGGAGATGGCCCACATCCAGCACCAGCCGGGGGTTGAGCCGCACGGCCCGGAGGAAGACAGGTGAGGACGGGCTGACCGCCCTTGGACCGGGGGATGGACACACACACACACACACACACACACACACACGCTCACACTCATAGGGTTCACTGATGAGACTGTTTTAATCTAGGAGGCTCTGCCTTCCCACTTTCCCCCACTAAGGCTCTGTAAAGCAGTTTATAATTTTCCAAATAGCTTTATACTTCTATCCCAGAGTTTCCCAAATCATGTGGTTTGAATGGATTACAGGTGTATCAAGATTTTGACACTGGCAGGAAAGCTGCATGGGGCCCAGGGCAGCCAGAGCCTCCAGACGGGCTGTGTGTATGTGCTTTGCATTGAAAAGGTTGGGAACCAGTGTTCTATTTGGACAAAAATGCCACAAACGCCCTTAAGAGACAAGCAATAAATCGGAAACACATGATGAAGGTTGACATCCCTACTAGAAAAAGAGCCCTTGCAAATGAGTGTGACGGGGGAGCATACCAGTAGGAAAAGGGACAAAGGTTGCAAGCAAGCATCTCATAGATGTTCAGATGATAGATGTTCAACCTTATTCGTCACGAAACGCAAACAAAAAGAAGGTGTCATTATTCTTTGCCTATCTTAATGGCCAAGCCGGGCAGCCCCCGGTGTTGGGAGAGCTGTAGGGAAATGGGTCACTGATGGGGGTATCGGCTGACACAGAGGAGTTTTCATGGTGAGAGGAGATATTGAAGATGCATGTCCCTATCCATTCTGTTCCTAAGAGTTTACCCTTGGGAGAAAAATCACGCAAGTGCAGAGGAGTCTGTGCCCTTAGGTTTATCAGAGCGTTGCTTAGAAGAGCAAAAACTGAGAAATGACCTAAATATCCACCATTCGAGCTAAATTATGGCACGCTCACTCGGCAGCATTCTGCAGAGCCACAGCTGAGCCATAGTTGCCAACATGGGACCATGTGCACCATGGTGAGAAAGGGAGGTTACAACACGGCATCTGTGGCAAGGTCCTAATCGCATCAAATGTTGCAGCTGTGGGATTAGAGAGGGGTCTGGAAAGGTATACAACAGAGTGTTAACAGTGGTTGTCTCCAGGTGGAAGGAGATGGGACGGTTTTATTTTCTGCCTTAGGTTTTTCTGTGTTGTTTAGATTTTCTGCAACCTTGTCATCCTTCTAGTGGGAAGGGAGTTGTTTTTGGCTTGGAGAAACGAAACCTATTTTCTGATAATAAAAGATCATGCACGCATATTCTTGAAAACTTAGGAAATACAGAAAAGAACAAAGACGGAGAATCAGTCACCCCTAATTCCCCACCCTAGCCAGGAGCACACACATACTAAGGGAAATGAGAGGTAGGCCTGGACAAACAGGGAGGGGCTGATGTTGGCCATTATCACCCTATAGGTTCAAGTGTAGAGTCCTGGACTATGGCTTATGGCACTATTCCCTGTATGTGTGTAAAAAAAAAGAAAAAGAAAAAAAGACACCCTGACTTTCTGGTTTTCTCTTTCAACAGTCAAAGGAGATTAAGCCTGAGGATAAGACCTTGGAGCCTTATAGTGAACTTGGAAGACAAAATTACAGAATACCTTGAAATACATGTAAATTTTATAGCAGAAATTCCTTCTCTACCCGGGGACAACCATTCTACTTCACACTGGCCGCTGCTTCGTGCATGTTTGTGTGGCCTTTGGCAAAAGGACCCAGCTTGGCGCCAGAACGGCCCATCTGGCATGTGGTTAAGCATGAGTCTTAAAAGCGAAGGGGGCTTCACACTTCCTTGTGTTAACACTTCCAGATCATCCAGTGTAGTCGTTGAGTGTGGTGTTCAGTTCCTGCTCTCCCACTTCCCAAATATATGACCAAGTCACATAACCTTGACGTATCAGTTTCCCCATCCATAAAACGGGTATGAAAGTAGTACCTAACTCACAGCATTGTTAGGAAGATGAAACTGGTTGATATGTGTTAAAGTACTTAGCACAGTCCCTGACGCCTAGGACACAGTTGAAGTGTAGCTTTTATTACTTTTGGCACCCACGGGTTGTTCACAAGGCTGGTGTATGTGGACCCGGTGCTGACACAGGATCTGGAGTTCATCTACTTGTGATTTTCAATATGGCGGGAGCGCATGCTAACGCTCTCCATGTTGGTGCTTATTGTCTTGCAGCCAGGAGGAGGAGGAAGAGGCCTCCTCCAGGTACTATGTCCCCAGTTACGAGGAAGTGATGAACACAAACTACTCAGAAGCGAGGGAGCTGGACCAGAACCCGAGGATGAGCATCTCTCTCCCGACCTATGAGTCCTTGACGGGGCTTGACGAGACGAGCCCCACAGCTGCCAGGGCCAACGTGGAGAGCAGCCCGGGGAATCCACCCGACAGGCAGAACTCCAAGTTGGCCAAACGCCTGAAGCCACTCAAAGTTCGAAGGATTAAATCCGAAAAGCTTCACCTCAAAGACTTCAGGATCAGCCTCCCAGACAAAAACGTCCCTCCTCCCTCCATCGAGCCTTTGACCCCCCCACCACAGTACGACGAAGTCCAGCAGAAGGCTGCTGACGCCCGGCCACCTGACTGACGGCCCCGCTCAGGTGTGTCCCTCCGGTCGCTCACCCTCCACACCACGGACCCCCAGTGAAGCCACTTCAGCTGCAATTGAGGAGTGGAGGGGGCAGATGCATACAGATTGATGTGGATGGGGGCGAGGGAGGGGGGCGTGGGGAGTCCAGTGACTAGGGACTGACTGACATCCACAGAACCTCATGTGGCAGTGCATCGGGAAGAGCTGCTGCCTCGGATCTCGGGGTATGGACCCCGTCACGGTCCTCACAGGGTACGCACCTTCCCCATCGTTTTTCCCCAACTCTGAGTTGTTGGCGACAACACCTCTCTTTCCAATCAGGAGAGGATGCCTAGCAGCTGGTTTAGGTTGTGATTTTTGTTTTGCTTCCACTAGGACTGTTTTGTTTCAAAAAGAAAACAAGATATGCCTTTGCTTTCTTCACTGGAGTCCTGAGCTGTGGGTAGGAGATGTGACTCAGCTTTCTAGAAAGGACGCGGGGCCATTTCAGGAATGAAGCGAAACAAGAGGCTGATCGATGATGTGGGGGTGAGGCTCAGCTGGGGCTCTCTCAGAGCCCCTGAAGCTGTTGGCTCTCGGGGGGCCCAAGGCCCAGTGATGCATAAGATCAGAGTCTTTACTGGTACACTTTCCTAGGGCCTTCAGGGTAAGGGCAAAAAAGGAAAGCTGCGTGAGATATTTTATTCCTTCTAAAATGCCATGCAAGTGAGCTTTTTATAATAAAATATTTTATATGTAGTACATTTGGGCGCTGAATTATTGTCGCAGCTCTTCCAACACTGACTTGCTTAGGGAGAAATATCACTGATTATAATAGTTGCTGCTAATCTGCACAAACACTTCACATGTGTTACGGCATTTCATCTGGATCCCGGTATCACTGCCATTTTGCAGGTTAGCTCACAGAGGCTCTGGTTCAAGTGCCTCATGTCACATCGCTAGGAAGTAGCCACGCTAGAGTCTGAACCCCAGCCGTCTGGCTCCAGGGCCTGAGTTCTTTAAATGCTCTAGCTTTTTCAGACTTCGAATGAGGAGCTATGCTTCCCAAGAAGGGGAAGCTACTGCTGCTGCCCCTTCGACTCACATGCCCAAAGGAACATGGTGGCTGTCTAGACAGCAGCTCCTACCGACCTAAACGTCCCCCCAGCACCCCCCGCCTGAGACCCGGCCCAGCGGGAGCTGATGGGCTGTATGCTCAGAAAGGCCGGGTGAGTGTGTCCTCATGCAGGGGCCAAAGTGCCTGCCTGTGGAACCCAGAAAAGCAGTTCAACTAATGAGGATGCCCAGGATTGCTGACTGCTGAGGCTAAGCCAGGAGAGGAACGACTGGGGTCACGGTCTTGACCGTGGAGTGGGAGTCTGGGAAGACACACCTGGGTCCAGGGGTGCCTTCCTGGTACTGGGGAGCATGAAGTGGAGTCTGCATGCCTAGGAGAAGAGTAAATTCTGAGGCCCTGGATGTTTCCGAAAAGCTTCTAAGTAGAGAAGGGTGGGCAGATAGGGAATGAATCACTCCTGATCTCGGGATTGGCAGCAGGGTCTAAATTCCAACCTTTCTCTTTCCTTATGCAAATCCATCTATTAAAAGGGAGCTGCAAGGACCTGCTTCGTGGCTAAGACACCAGAGGCCTGGTCTGGTCACAGCCCGCTACTGAGCCAGCCTGTGGCTCTCCATGTATCTGGGGGCTGGATTTGTTCTTCGGTTAGTCTTTATGCTTCCTCCTGATGGGAAGACAAACAGGAGGAAAAAGAAAAGGAGACAAGCAGGGCACCTGGATGGCTCAGTTGGTTAAGCCTCTGACTCCTGACTTCGGCTCAGGTCATGATCTCATGGTCGTGAGAGTGAGCCCGGAGTAGAGCCCTACGTTGGGCTCCACGCTCAGCAGGGAGTCGGCTGGAGATTCCCTCTCTCCCTCTGTCCCTCTACCGCCCCCTCTCTAAAATAAATAAATCTTTAAAAAAGAAAAGGAGAAAGCAAGGTTCCAAATGATAGAAAGGGCCCTCAATCTGGGCTCTGGTAGATCATCCTGCGGGGTGTCTGCCCAGCCTAGACCCTCCTGGGGGGAGAAAGTTTTGGGGCTTGTAGTGGGCTGAATGGTAACCCCGAAAGATCTCAGGACCTAAGTTCTAGGACCTGCGGAAGTTACCTTACAAGGTAAAGGTTTTGCAGGTGTGATTAAATTAAGAGTTTTGAGATGAGGTTATCTGGGAATCACCAGGTGAACTCTAGATGCCATCCACAAGTGCACTTGCAAATGAGAGCCTGGGGACACCACACGCAAAGAAGAGGAGGAAGCAGTGTGACCACGGCCGCAGAGACTGGCCTGGTACGTCTGCAAGCCAGGGACTGCCGGCAGCCCTGGAGCTGGAGGAGGCAAGGGGATTCCCCCCCTCAGCATCCAAGGGAGCTGCAACCTTGACTGTGGCCCAGCTGATGCTGGTTTTGGACTTCTGGCCTCCAGAACCATGAGAAGATACCTTTCTATTATTTTAGGCTACCAAGTCTGTGGGAATTTGTTGCCTAGAACATGTAGCATATAGAGCATGGTTCACCTTTGTCTATAGGAAGGCAGAGAGAACGTTAGCTGGAAATGTTGCCTGGGGGCTGGAGACCTGAACAGTGCCTAGAGGAGCAAAAAAAAAAAAAAAAATCCATCTGCAGTATTAAGTTAAAACCACCTGTCAAAGCAGGGGACCACCTTCACCTCAAAATTCCCCAAGGCACACTCATCCTGTTTGCTCCTTGGTCCAGATCTATCAGGGACCTCTATCTTTTGACTCAAAAAAAAAAAAAAATGGGGGGACAGAGGGTAAAAGCCAGAATAAAGCCTCTAGCCCTTTCCTCGCCATCGTGTTTCTGTTCTTAAAGTAATCATGAAAGGACAGAAATATGGGAGAAAATTTAAGAAGCCACCCACTCGTTCTTGAGCCTAAATAGCACCAGGGCCAAGAGCAGAGAAAAATCCCACCTAGCCCTCCCACTCCACCCAAAAGGAGGAATCTCCGCGGCTATATTGGTGTCACGTGAGCGCTACTCTCTCAGGTCACAGCTGATTGGACCTGAGGTGTGTGTCCACCTGACCCAGGAGAACCAATCAGAAGCTGAGCTGGGCTAAGCCCTGCTCCCTCAGGAATTGGTCCTGCGATGGATGGAGAGGCCATTGGATGATGGGGTCTCAGGGATTAGGGGGCAGTTTGGGCGCCATCGTGATGGGCCACAGGTGAGCAAAGCAGGGGAAGAGGCAGAAAGAGGCAGACATGAACAATGAGACCTAGGAAATAGCTGTGTCCGGATGGCTTTCTGGTCCTTGGTCCTTGTCCCTTGGGAAGCCCAGCCCAGCCCTTGGGTTCTATAAGAGATGCTGTGTCCTCCCAGTAAATCCGATCCCTTTGGAGTTCTGATCCTAAATTTAGCCGAAGTCCTTGAAGGGAGGCACCGCCTTTGCATCATAAACAGTGTTGAGCACATAGTGGGCACTCCACCTATCCCCGATTTTTATTCTCACTTTTCTCAGACTGGCTAGAGTCCTGACGAAGGGGAACCACGAGCAGATCATTGAGGCAAAAGGTTTCTCTCTTCCTCAGTTCCCAAGAAGGCAACTCCCATCAGGGAGAGCGGGCAAGTCAGTCCGTTTTGTTTGCTCTCCAGCCTGATACCAGCTCTTCGGTACCTTTAGAACTGAGTGGCTCATACTAAGAAAGTGAATGTCAGGAGGCCACGGCTATCAGGACTTAGAGACCCTCTCCCTTGTTGATTCCCAAGCTTGCTTCCCTAGACTTTGATGAGTGGAAGTGAAAAAGTCCCTGATTAAATTCACCTGGAAATCCACAAGTGAAACTCCACATTTATACTGAGCATCTACTATGTACCACATGCTAGGGATCAGCTGCAAACAAATGGACCAAGTCTCTGCTGACACCAAGGCTATGTTCTGGGTTGAGGGGGACAGACGATGAACAAAGAAATAAATTCATAAGCTATAATGTCAGGAAATGAGAAGCCACGTGAAAAAAGATGAGGCACTAGACCATCACCCGTTTGGGTGATTGGAAAAGACTCTTGGGAAGTAACATTGGAGAAAAGTGGGGAGTGAGCCACATGGAGATCTGGGTGCAGAGAATTCTGGAAAGCCTCTCACATGCTTATGCACATTATGAATCTCCAAGCAGATGTTGCAGGATATAGCATTTCCCAAACCAATTTGGCCTCACCACCTTTCTTCCCTACAAAGGCTCTTCCATGGTCAGATTTCATGGACTACCTCACAGGGAATGGTGATTGAGCCAAACCCAGTAATAATGCAGGGGGAGAATCAGGCCCAGAGCAGACAAGAGACATGTCCAAAGTCCTAGAGCTCATTGACCAAGCTGTCTGTTAGCTTCCTTGTTGCGTGGCATTCAGGTCAAAGATCACCAGTGAGGGCCCCAGCAAAAGATCACAATGATCACAAGATGGCCCAGAACCTGACACCTCAGGGGAGAGCCCACCTCACATGGGAGGAAGGCAGTCAGATGGATGACATGCTAATACAAACCAAACAGCCCCCAGACACAACGTGTGACAAAACATTCTCAGCTCCCGGTGACACTGGTAAACGTTCACACAAATGCCAGAACTGGACATCTTCACCTTAGATCACTGGTTCTCCACCAGGATTGACTTTGCCGCCCAGGGGCCATTGGGAATGTGACAGTGGTGGCAGGGGGAACGGGGGGCTGCTAAGGGCATCTAGTGGGGCCAGGAAGCTATTAAACATCCTACAGTGCAGAGGACATCACCTACAACAAAGAGTTATCCTGCCCCAAAGGTCAAGAGTGCCAAGATTGACAAATCCTGCCCTAGACAAAGGAAGATCTATTCTCTTGGGCAGTGGGGAGTCTGGGGATACAGCCTGGCAACCCAGTGTCAGCTCTCTCAAAAACCCAGAAACACTCATCCTTGGAGATCAGCCTGAGTGTGGTATTTATGATTTTCCTTAAAAAAAAAAAAAACTGTCACTTTTACAAAGACCATTTTCCTATCCCTGCCCAATCCAGAACCATAAATCTAATTCTCCACAGCATGTATAAACAGATCTCTCTTCCTTTTCTCCATCCCCAGTCCCTACTCTGTGCATTAAAAACTCCCCATTGGGATTTATTAACTGTCGTTTAAAGGATGTGGGAAAGATAATATTCAGTAGTATTTACAAACTCAAAAAGATTTTAAGAAAGTTTAGATTACTGAAAAGCATACTAATGAAGGCTATATTTCAAAATAAAACAACTACAAGATAAGTTGAGAAGCAAAAATTATGACCTGATCTTCTGGGATGTAAGTCTTCTCAGAAAAAATGTCAGTAATACAGCAAGCTTCTCGGGGAGAAGCTGGGCTCAGTACTGTATAAAATTTGAAAGGTGCATGGAAACTTTATTTTTTTTGAAGATTTTATTTATTTGTTTATTATTTGATAGAGAGAGAGAGAGCACAAGCAGGGGGAGCAGCAGAGGGAGAGGGAGAAGCAGGCTCCCCGCTGAGCAGGGAGCCCGACACGGGGCTCGATCCTGGGGTCCCAGGATCATGACCTGAGCCAAAGGCAGATGCTCAAACGACTGAGCCACCCAGGTGCCCTGC